TATATATATAGGAAGTGGGCTTTTCCCACGTAATGCATCTCAAAAACACACAACATCCTGTGCATCAGGAAGTATGTGGACCACTGGTCAGACATTGCTGAGGGCGGCTCACGGCTCACTCACCCTGCAAGATGTTCTCTGGATGGTGATGATGGGCGCAACAGTTGGACTGCTGGGACTGAACTTCGGCACTCAGAGAAGCCTCCTTCCCCTTATTGCTCTTCCTCTGGCGCAGGCTGGTCATGTTGACAAACTACGTCCAAATTGTGGCGGTGCGCGCGCGCTCGCGCGTGTCCACGCAGCGGCGGTGAGCTAACGACGGCAGTGATGAGCCGCTGACTGTGTTTGTTTCCCTGATTCTGGACAGGCCTGCTCAAAATGGGATTTCCTGGTCAAGTTGATGCTGGATTGCGAAATATCGAAAATCCGTCTTTAGACACCAGAATAACGGGGAACCAGATAAAAGCTAGCGTATTTAAACCATGTTTGCTTAGCATAACATGACACGTTTCTTGAGAAATATCATGGTGACAGCATCAATCAGTCAGTGATGTGAAATGAGACAAAGTAGAAAACGTTTAACACAACTAAGCATCTGATTTTGAATGAATGTGCATTTTACACAAGGGCGCGCTCCCGCTACAGATTCTCAAAACAGTCACAGCAACGCAGACAAAAAAAAAAAAGAAAAAAAAAAACATTTGGCAAACGGAGCATTTGAACGCCTCACCCTCCTCCTCTAAGGCTACAGAAGCCCCTGGTAGGACGGTCCGACAGCTTTCCTCTGCATTCTCTTTATTTTTATCAACGTAACCCCATTCTCTTTCATGTTTCTCTTTTTCTGTTCTCTCAAAATTCACTGTTTAAATGTCACCAAGCCTGATCGTCTGTGGTCACTGCTGCCGCACTGTGTTTAAGGACCGGAAATCTTCAAACAGAAGAAGGATGGCCTTCAAAATAAAAGCTCGAGTGATGTTATTTTTTTTTACTAAACCATCAGTACACTGTACAGGTGAATATAGTTGTACCGAATTTACGTTTTTTTTAAAATCATTAAAGCTAACGGAAAAAAATTGTGTAAAGAWATTACACAGTATTGTTTAAAAAACAATAATGGATTGCAGGCATAAAGGTAATTGATGTTTAACTCTACTTCCGGTTTATTTTTGGTCAGTGTCTGCAGAAAGAGGACTTCCAAACTGGTTAAAGAAATGTAACTGGTCTTTCTTTCTTTCTTTCTTTCTTTCTTTCTTTCTTTCTTTCTTTCTTTCTTTCTTTCTTTCTTTCTTTCTTTCTTTC